CATCACTCTTCTTACAATTTCCCGTGAAAACCAAAATACATGCTGTGGTGACAAATAACAACTCCAAAGCACTGGAACTGTCAACATCCCCCCTTTCTTTCATTGGAGAATGGAATTAAACCAGATTTTATAGAGGTTGGTGGAGAGGGGGGCTATGCCTTCTAATACCATAATACATCTGTTTTATTTCATTCCCCATTGAAAATAAATGGGAAATCTTTTTTCATTAAGTTTCTTTTCTGCTAGACTTCAGACAGATAATTTGGGAAGAGGGACTAGATAAGGAATCAGAAGAACCACTTGCCATTTTGCCTGTCCCTGTTCTACAATATCTTTACATTAGCATGATTTTTCCAATGTAGTTTTAAAGAAAGAAGATTACTTTGGGGCTTAACCTAAAAAGTTCTCTTTAACTGAATATGACTAGGTTTTAAGAAGTTGTTTTCACTTCTGAAACCTGAGTAGTTATTTTGCTTAATGCTCTCTGCACTGATTTGTATGTTACTTGAGAAGATAGATTTCCTAAGCCTCCTGTAAGCTTTTTCTGGATGGTATTTTGTTCAAGCAATAAATAAATCAGATGACGTGTATGTACTGCTGTGTTTGCTTGTTCTTGACCTTTGCTTTTCAGACGTGTAAGTGATAGCCCTTTACACATGGTGTTGTGTAACCAAGAATTCACGTGACAATTGTATTCCTTAATTTTATCAGATATTTTCAATAAAATTTGATCGTTCAGCTTCACATTTTACATCATAATCTTTTGCATGTTTGCATGGAAATAAGTCCTATTAAAGTCAGTGAGGAATTCCTGAGAAAATATAGGATCATGCCATAAATGTATTGCATCCAAAGCAGACAGTACAATTTCTAATATCTAATTTATGTTTGCTTATTGAACTTTATATGACAGTTAAACAGTGGAACAGCTTGCTGTCAGAAGTTGTGGGTGCTTCATCACTGGAGGTTTTTAAGAAGAGACTGGACATCCACTATCTGAAATGTTACAGGGGCTCCTGCTTGAGCATGGGACTGGACGAGAAGATCTCTAAAGTCTCTTCCAGATCTATTCTGATTGATCGATAATATTTTCATCTTAAAATATTGCCCAAGAACCATCAGTAGGAAAGCGGTAGAAGTGCTTCTTACCAGTCTAAGATGCAAGTAAAACATTACAAAAGAGTGGCTGTAATTAATCTGTGTTCTGCTTTTTTATCATTTGCATATGATATGCCAGATACATTTTCTTATGACACATTTCACATTTTAGTAAACCATCTGGAGTCTTGGGAAGTGGGTAGTGTAGGAATATATGTAAATAAATCCACTTCTCATTCTGTATCATTGGATGCTACAGATAGGAGGGGGTGGAGAGCTAACCTTTTGCTGTAGTAAAAAGTTTGCAGTCATTGATGAGTTTAAGTGGTCTGTAAAAGACAAAGCAGAAAGTCAGAAGCAGGTATAGCTAATGATGTAAGCTTTTACATTTTAGAAGATTTAATAGCAAATATGAGGTTATTTGAAGTATTCTTTGGACTGGATTGTTGCCTTCAGCTTTGAAAGGTTTTGAAAAAGGTCAGGTGTCTACCAGGTGCTACTGCCAGCAGAGACAAGAGGCGTATTCTTAAGATAGTCAAGAATGCCAGCAAGGACTGTGATGTTGATGCTATTATATACATCTTGGTACAAATGATCTGTCCCAGAAGGATGTACTGTCTGTTCAGAAAGACTTCCAGAGCTTAGGGTATGAACTTAGTAATATGGCCTGTAGGCTTATCTTTTCAGAGGTTCTAGCAGTATACAAGGAACAAAAAGGGAAAGGGCAGCGTGTAGCAGAGTTTAATGTGTGGCTAAAGGAGTAGTATAAAAGGGAAGGCTTATTAGTCATGATGTCTGCAGCTGGTCCAATGAAAAACTGTACAAAAGAGATGGTTTGCATCCATCAAAGAAAGGGACTGAGTTACTTGGCATTAAATTCACAGATTTCCTGGATAAACATTTAAACAGCAGGGACAGAGAATTAATAGATACAGAACATTTCTGTCCCCAGCAACCTAAAATTAATAAGGATATCAGTGCATGCAAAATAGATGTTTGTGCAGGTAAGATTATCAACCTTGCTGTCAACCAAAACCAAGCATTTAATAGTGAGTGCCATACCACGTACATTAATCAAACAAGTGGCAAGAAAGTACGGGGAGGCAGGCACAACACAGGCTATGTAGACAGTAAACACAGTGTCAGACATAAAGATCTCAAGTGCTTATATACAAATGCACAAAGTCTGGGGAACAAACAGGGTGAACTCGAACTATGAATACATGAAGGTAGATATGATATAGTTGGAATAACAGAAACTTGGTAGGATGAAATGATTGGAACTTACTGGTAGAAGGATACAAACTATTCAAAAAACCCCAAACCTCATAAAAGAGGAGGTGGAGTTGCACTGTATGTAAAGGACCACTATATTTCTACAGAAATGCATGAAACCAAAGATGAAAACCTCCTAGAGTGCATATGAGTCAATATAAAAGAAAAAAAGAATGACATGGCCATAGGTGTATATTATAGGCCACCCAATCAAGCAGAAAATATAGATGTCCTTTTTGCCAGCCAACTAACAAACATATGCAGGAAACACACAACAATAGTAATGGGAGACTTCAATTATCCTGATATCAATTGGAAAACTAATTCTGCACCAAGTGAGAAATCAAATAAGTTTCTAACCAACCTAGCTGACAACTTTGTTGTCCAAAAGGTAGAGGGTGAAACTAGAGGGACAGCCATACTGGACTTACTAGTCCTTACTGAGTCCTAATGTTGCTAGAAAAAACTTGCTTCCATCCATATTTTCCATACTGTGCATAATTTTATATCTTTCTATCATGTTATCTATCTTTGCTTCAAATGCAAAAGTCCGGGATGCTACACATAGTCCTCGATTTAAAATACAATTGAGCCAAAAATTTCTCTCGCTAAGCGAGACAGCTGTTAACAGCTGTGTGTTGCCCCATTTTATGACCTTTCTTGCCACAATTCTTAAGTAGATCACAGCAGCTGTTAAGTTAGTAACACGTCTGTTAAGTGAATCTGGCTTCCTCATTGACTTTCAGAAGGTTGCAATAAAGTGATCACATGACCCCAGGACACTGCAACTGTCGTAAATACATACCAGCTGCCAAGTGTCCAAATTTTCATTATGTGACCATGGAAATGCTGCAATGATTGAAAGTGTGAAAACTGATCCTAAGTCCCTTTTTTTCATTGCCTTTAAAACTTTGAACAATCACTAAATTTTGTAAATAATACAGGACTGCCGGTATTACTTTTCTCTCATGGAATTGTCTTGACCATTATAATCACTGGCATCTCTTTGATCTTCTTTAAAGTAGTTTAATCTAAAAATTGGACCAGAAACTGTTTTGTCACTGGGGAGACTAGGAAAAAAAACTGATCAAGGGCCATCTAGGAGTTTGGTCAAGCAGATAGATTTTCCTGTTGTAACCTAATTCTGAGCAGATTACACAACATTTTATCTAAAAGGAAGCAGATTTTATCTTAATTGGTGGCAGGTATAACAGCATTGGATTTAGCTCTGAAGAGCCTTCAGGTGCAAACCTTTGAATCGCTTTTCCACCCAGAAATTTTTACTGTATTCAAAGTAGGTTAAAATACAAAACATGAAAATATTTTAAAAAGAGCAAAAGAATAAAAAAATACAACAATAAGACATTAAAAAGTAAAAGTGTCTTTAAAAAAAAGCAAAGACTAACATATATATACATATTCTTTTTCTTTTTTAAAGACACCTTTGAATCAGCTTCCACAGATACAACAATGATGGTAATACACTAATTTTTCTCCAAGAAATTCAGTTTGATAGTGACACATCTTCAGTTGGCATTCACAAAAATAATTACCTTTAATACTGGATGCACACATTCTGATTTTGTCCTCTTTGCTGTGTTATGAAACTTGTGCTGTTGTTTGCATGTGTATGTTGGCAGTGTTCTTTCTGTGTTCTAGAAAGAAACTGCTATGATTCTGTGCTTAAACTTCTTAATCCATCCAATAATTTATATGACGTTTGCAATCTGAATATACATATAGTAAAATGGTAATAGTCATTGGCCAGTAAATAATTGTGTACTGTAGAAAATAACAGATAAATTTCCTAAATAATATTTATAGTTCTAGTTACTTAAAGGACATGCTATGTTCTTATGTTAGACTTTGTAAAATGACAGGTTTAGAATATTAAGGTAATAATATAATAAATTAATATTATAATAATATTATAACTTTTCAATAAATGTATTTTCAGTAAGTTGCAGATTTTCATTAAAACCTTCAATGCATCTAGTGTACTTTTTGCCCACTGCTTCAAAATCATTTTTACAACTCTGCAGTTTTGGATTAAAATAAGCTTTTTATTAGTTACTTTTCTGAGATCCTTCAGAAAAGGACAGTGCTATATAGCTTAGGAGTCATAAGAAGTCAAGTAATCATATTTGTCAGCCAGTTCCTGTGCAGTTGGAAAAAAAAATCACATTTGAACTGCAAGATACCTTAGTCCAAATCATGACCTCATAATGCTGTTGTGGAAAAGGTTATTCATTCTCTGTGAGTTTATAGTTACATAAACTGATAGAATTCTGTGCATCTAAGTTGGTGACATGCTTCTCCTCCACCCAATGCCACTTATCAGAAATCTAGGCAGTGAATCTCCCTCCCACTGGAGAAAACTGTTGGGGAAATACCAACAGGAAGACTGAGCTCTTTGGAATGTGGCCTTTCTTTTAGCATAAAAATACCTTACTCTTGAACACAGTACTTAAGATTTTAATCAGTTCACATTTTAGTAGTTTCACAACAAAACAGTTAAAGCAGATTTACCCAGTAGATACACCTTACCCTTTCTTCCTTTTCCCATGTGCTTTTTCAGTAAATTTTAAATGCCTTCCATACCTGTGATTACTCTTCTTTTCTTTCAGATCCAATAAGATTTTGAAATGTCCTTTATATTTGACTGGATTTACAGTGGCTTCAGTAGTGTACTGCAATTTTTAGGTAAGATATCCACAGTTCCATTCCAGTGTTATAATTTACATTCATGGAAGTTTTTTTCTGATTTTTTTTACACAGTGCTGGTTAGACAACTTCATTTAAGTTGATGCAGATTGACTAATATTTCTTATTTATTGTTTTAGACATGCTAAAGGATACACACATAAAACACTTACAATTCTTTTCTCTGTCTCAGCCTAAAGAATTACCTCTAGCTGCAGTAAATGATATTAAAATACATGAAAAAGGAAAGCTAATAGTTTGATCTATTTGCAATGTTACTATAAGTATAAGTATTTAATCTATAAGTATTTGGCAATTCGGCTTTTGAGTCTATCATAAAGAACAGACCTTCACTTTATTTAGCATAAAAATACTTCTCTCTCCTCAACCTCTTCCATTACTAATCTTGATCTATACCCCCCAATAGTCCATCAATGTTAGTCCCTATTGCTGGTTTAATTTTTCTTTACATTTTGATGTGGCATGCCGGCTACTTTTTCCAAAGTATCTTTTCCCTTTTACCCTCGTATTCAGATTGTTGGGTTAATACATAAGCCTGCTCCTGGAAATTGCAATGAAGTGAGTCACAAACTTGCAAAACTGTTAAACAGTATCATGAGGGACATCCCCTACTTTTGCTTTGTGAGTAATAAGGTGCTGGTAAACTGACTGAGGCAAGAGTTCTCAATTGGTGAGTTGTGACCCTCCAAGCAAGGGATCATGTCCAAATCAGAGGGACTTGGCCATTTAAAAAAAAAAGATGTGACCAGGTTTGCAGAGGCACAGCTTTGAGTGTTGTCAAAACTCACTCTGGTCTTTGGTCCCTGTTTGCCTGTGTAAGCTTGCAAAGTTTGAGAATCCATGTGATACACAGGTAAATAAAAAGCAAGAGTTCAAACTTTACCCCAATGAAATAATTTTATTTATGGGCAGGAGTGCATCAGTTTGTTTATCATGTTTTAGGCCTAATGCATGATTTGACTTGGTTGATGGTGGACTCCTTGGATTAAAGAGGGGGTGAAAGAGAGAGACAAAATATATCTGGTAGATAATGTGAGTAGAAGTAGCTTGGCAGCCTATAAATCTGGCAGTGCCTTTCAGGGACTTGTGCAGTGAGTCTAACTATCACATAAGTGGCTAGCAAGTAGCTACCTGCTTGCATGATCGTCAGATTCACTGCATGACTCTCTGAAGGGCACTGCCAGATAAACTGATTTTATCTTTCAGTGTCCACATTTGAGGGTTAAAAAAAAGTTAATAGGGCAGTTGGGAGGATCATCAATGTCTTGCCCTTTTACTGGTGTGTGATTATTGTACACTTGTACACAAGTGGAGCTTCAATCAATCACCCTGCCTTCAAAGAGACTTTCTGCCCAGACATTGCTTTCTGTACTCCCCAAAACCCTTAAACCGGAGATAACAGTAGAGTCTTCAGAAAGCTAAAGTGTTGCATTTCCGTTCTTACTTCACAGAATCATTGAATAGTGACTGGTTACTGTTTTAAGACTTATTTTCAAGCCTCTGTACAGTTGGCTCAGGAATTCTGGCAGTTGAAGTCCTCAAGTCATAAAAGGTCCATCGTTCCCCACTCCTGATTTAAATAATCAACATGAACTATAAGAAACATGGTTGGCGTTTTGGTTTTTGAAGGCTTAAGCATTGACCAGTCATATTTTAAGCAGCATCTTCCAGAACAGTGTCTGATTATTTGCTTTTAAATTCTAGGAGCACATGGTGCTATACATAATGTCTAGGTTTCATCAAAAGGGTTTCTTATGCCATTCTGGTGTGAGCTGAGAAAATTAATTCCTGTTCACCAAACAGTCTCATTCTTTTTCAGGATTATACAAGAAAACAGGTAAACTAGTATTCCTCGGATTGGATAATGCTGGAAAAACTACTCTCTTGCACATGCTTAAAGATGACAGACTGGGACAACATGTCCCCACATTACATCCCAGTAAGTCAATGTTTCTTTTTCAGTTTTGATGTATACTTAATAGTGCTTTAAAGCTGGTGTATACTTTGTTCATTTTTATGCCACCTAAAAGCTTATGGGGAAGAGTATGAATTAACATAGGTAGTAGCAGTTGCTTGCTTGCTTTCTCTTTTTTCTCTCTTTCTTTTTCTTTTTACTGCTGATAATAATGATTATTTTTATTTATGACAATTTCAAATACAAATTTTATGTGTGAAAGAAATCAAATAGGTGGGGGTTTATTAAATGTATGCTGCCACTTCTTATATAAGCACTCAAAAATATCTTACAACAATAAAAACAAACTGTACAAATGTAAAACTGTAAATATAGTACAATCAAAATTAGTCAAACATTAAAAACTCAATGAAGGAGTTGGAACAGTAATTTATTTTTTTCAATTTTCCCTGATTTGGCCCTGTAATGACATAGGCCATTAACCAACCCAGTACTTAGCTGCTTTCAGAAATTCAAGGGAAGGATTTACTGAACGATACTTCTTCTTTTAAAATAAATATATATATTTCATGTTTCTATAGCTTCTGAAGAGCTGACAATTGCTGGTATGACGTTTACAACTTTTGATCTAGGAGGACATGCTCAAGGTAAGAGAAGCAAACAGGCAGAATCCTAAATGATGTTAGTTTAATCTTTGTTTGCTGTATTCCAAGGTGATCATACTACAACTTTTTTTTCCAGTTCTGAAAATCTTTTTTTAATATTGTGAGTATTTGATTTTAAATTTGTTGTGTAGACATTGTTCTGATACTTTTTTTCTCATAAGAAATGCACATATTAAGCGTAAACTTTTGTATCCTTTCCATGGGTGAAGGCAACTCAAATGTTGTATCAATGCACCTTCATTGTTCTAACACTTTCTGGTCAAATTTTCTTGTCATTCTTGCTATGTATTTATATATTTATCAGCTTCGACTTTGGCTATCCAATGATTTCAAAATGGTGTTATTTAGAGTACATGAAATGTTGCTCTGAAATGGTGTGTTATTTAACTTTTTTATAAGATGTATTAGTAATACAGATAATCCTCGACTTACTACAGTTCATTTAGTGACCGTTCAAAGTTACAATGGCACTGAAAAATGTGACTAATGACCATTTTTCACAGTCATGACCTTTGCAGCATCTTCATGATCATGTGATCAAAATTCAGATGCTTGACAACTGGTTCATATTTATGATCATTGATGTGTCCCAAATTCATGATCATTTTTTGCAGCCTTCTGACAAACAAAGTTAATGTGGAAGCCAGATTCCCTTAACAACAGGGAAACTTATCAACTGCAGTGATTCTCTTAAGAACTGTAGCAAGAAAGGTCATAAAATGGGGCAAAGCTCCCTTGACAAATGTTTCACTTAACATCAGAAATTTGAGGCTCAATTGTGAATATAAGTCAAGGACTACCTGTAGTTATTGGACATTTTTTAAAAAATCCACTTCAAAATATAATGTTTTCAAAAGCTGTTGATATTACATGGTAATTCAACAATAAATCCACAAGAAATTGTGTCTCTCAATATCAATGATATGGTTTTCAGTTTTAAACCCAGCACACACACAAAAATCACTTTCAAAAACCTTTTCACACAAAGATCCAAATGCCCTTTTAAAAAGTTTATCGAACCAAATGGAAAGGCTACTGTCAGCAGTCCTTGACTTACATTCATTTGTTTACTGACTCTTCAAAGTTACAACATTGAAAATGACATACAACGGATCCTTGTACTTACAGTATGACCATCACGGCATCCCTATGGTGCATGTATCAACATTTGAGCATTTGACAACTAGCATGTATTTACAATGGCCTCAGTCCCGAGGTCATGTGATCACCAATTGTAACCTTCCCATCTGGCTTCCAACAAGGAAAGTCAACGGGAGAAGTCAGTTTCACTTAACAACTGCATGAGTCATTTAACAAATACAGTGATTTGCTTAACAACTGTGAAAAGAAAGGTTGTAAAATCTGGCCTGACTCATTTAACAACCAGCTTGCTTAGCAATGAAAATTCTAAGTCCCAATTATGGTCATAGGTCAAGGACTACCTGTAGCATCTATGAATAGAGTAACAAGAGTTGCAGGCAATTTCCTGTTGCAGTCTCTTTATAACCCTCTTTTATTAGCTCGCAGGGTTTGGAAAAACTACCTGCCTGCCATCAACGGCATTGTCTTTCTGGTGGACTGTGCAGATCATGAAAGATTGGCTGAAGCTAAGCAAGAACTTGATGTGAGTTTACAGTATATATATTTGGCACTTGGTAAATCCAGTTGAAAAGCCCAATATTGTGATGACTGGTGGGAAAGCAACAAAACTTTTAAGATACAATATTTGTGTGGATCTGTTGTGTCATTGTGGGAAAGACCAATTACAGTTATCCTTTACTTTTCCTTAAATCTGGGTTCGTAAAGTAAGAACTATCAAAAGTCACAAACCAGGAGGCCCACAATTTGCCCAATCAGAATTGTGTCCTTGGGTAGGATGCTTCTCCCTATTAAAGAATGCATTCAACCAGCAAAAGATGTTCAAGGCCCATAATGTATATTCTATATCTATGTTCTAGAGCAGTGTCCCACAATATTTTGGGCACCAGGCACCAGTTCTGTGGAGAAAATGGTTTTGGGGGCTGCCTGCATCTTGCGGATGGGGCTTTGCTCTTTGCACACCCCGGTTGCTTGCATGCCATGGACTGATGCCAGTTCATAGACCAGGGGTTGGGGACCCCTATTCTAGAGGAACCTTCACCATGTTTCTTATATCATAGTATTACTGCAAAGTAATATGCAGTGCAAGTTCAATTTTTCATCTCTTTGCAAGCCATTATAGGAAAACATTGAAGATCATTATATGTTTCATAACATAAATAAATGGACTTAAAAGAACTTTCATTAAAATGGAATATTTATGGAAAAAAAATATTAGCAACAGTTCATCTCAATCTCCAAATCTTAATTGTGATTCCTAACTAGTTACCCTCTCATAATTTTAATATAGCTACCATTTCTTATCATATATAAGTTATTATGTTATAATCTGAATGGAGTTAAAATGATATTAAATGTCTTAGAAAATTTGATATCCAATATTGTCCATCCTTTCAAATACATTTTTTGGGGAAGTCCAATATACCCCGAATACAGTTTTTGATGAATCAACTTCAATCTTAGCTTGGCTGATACTATTTTAACATTTTAAGATAGGAATCCATTGATGAGACTTTATTATATATCATATTTGATCCTTATTTAATGTTATGAAGTAGAATCACATGGAAGAAAGCCATTTTGTATACAGGGTATCTGACTCTTCCTCTTAATGTTCAAGAGATCTGGAAGTCAGTCAATATAGATACTTTCAAGTACCTATACTTCAGAAGGTCTCTTCAGAAGTTTCTCCTTGTGTTTGATGTCCTTCTATTTTGTACTGGTTGTATGGAACCTAAAATATTGTACATTTCTTCCTTTCCTCTTAGGCATTAATGACAGATGAAACTATTGCTAATGTGCCTATCCTAATTCTTGGCAACAAGATTGACAGACCAGAAGCCATCAGTGAAGAGAGGTTACGAGAAATGTTTGGTTTGTATGGCCAGACAACAGGAAAGGTATGGTGCCTTTTTCCATAACATTAAACTCTGGGATTTAGTGTGTTAACTATATTTTTCCTCATGTATTTCTGAGCTCTGCTTTACTTCTAGCTTGTACAAAATTCTGCAACAATTCTATACTTCTGCACAGTTTAATAATATTTCAGGAATCCAGTTGTAACAAGTTTTCTGGAATTTTTTTTCTATTTCATTATCTAATTGAGTTATTTACAATAAAAGTGAATTTCTCCTTTTTTCCCCCTTGTAAAACTACATATTGCCTACCTACAAAGTAAAGCCAAACTATTTCTGTCCAAGAATAGTTATACATAGAATATAGAATATTCTTTAGTGGCCAAGAATGGTTGGACAATAGATAAAAAGAGCTACAAGAGTTAAAGGGGGTTAGCACTATCAAATAATACTGTTGAGCATTGTCTTCCTGTAAAGAAATCTCCATCAAGAATTCTTGACTGAATCTTTTTTTAATTTCAGGGGAATGTCTCGGTGAAGGAATTGAATACTCGGCCCTTAGAAGTGTTCATGTGCAGTGTGTTAAAGAGACAAGGTTATGGGGAAGGATTTCGCTGGATGGCACAATATATTGATTAATGCCAAATTCACATTACTACACACTATCCAAACCTGCTCATGTTCTGATCAATCAGTGTACATAACTTGAACTTAATAGATTTTGGTTACAAAAGCGTATTTTTTTTATTGTATCAATTGTGTTAAATTTTAAGCATAAAGACTGAAAACAGATTTTAAGCAAGTTTGTCAATTTGGATCTTGTAACATTAGTCTCTAGGCCTATCAAACCACCTTCTTTTTGGATTAATTTATATGTTGTCTCACCCATTTTTGTTTTTAGCTTTCCCACACAGTATGTTTTTTGAATGCACTTTTTAACAGCTCAACCCTACAGACTTGTTGGTCCTATTTAATGCTCATCATGTTAAATTTTTAAGTATTTTTTTCAGAACCAATTTTATAAATGTAAAGTGAATAACAATTCCTCAAAGGATAGTAATGAATAAGCTTTATGAATAATTGCATGATGCCTTACAGTTTTCAATAATATACTTTTCTTATGCAACGTCATGCAATAAAACTAAATCCCATTTCGTGACATCTTTAATGGGGACATGTTTCATTTTAATGTGTCAATCTAGTAAATATGTTTTAAAATGTGAATCTGTGGGGTAGTTTTCTAAAATGCAGTATAATTTCCATGTACTGTAGACTTTTTATATTATTTATTTGATTACCTTTACACTGGGAATGAATCACACTAACGTTATCCATGCTTGTGGATGTAAATGTTCGGTCACTGTTTTTTACGTTGTACAGAAAGAAGCACTACTGTATGGTCTCGTTGTGTAGTGCATCATGTAGTGCTAGTTGAGTGCCTGAGTGCAGCTTTTTAGGAAACCATTGGATTGGTACTGCAAATACACATTTAGAAGCCTGGCTCCTGTGTGAATTATGTTACTGGATTGAGTATGGTGTAACTTACCCACTGCTCTGAGCATTTGTCTTTCCTGTTACAACATTCATACAACCTGTCAAATGTTGCAAAAGGTGACTGATTGCCATTCAAATGATACAGAGAACAGGTCAGTACTTTGTTGCCATCCTTGGCTACGGAAATGGGATTTTATTTTTTATTTTCTCTGAACTGCATATCTGTTAATAAACTAAGAGTGGTCATTCAGAGAAGTATTTGTATATCGACTTCAAATTTTTTTATTTAGCACTGCCACAAAGTTCTACAATTTGATTTCAACCCCCCCCACTCAAAATGTACTTAGGAAATGAAAAAAAAAATACCCTTGTTCTGAGAATCTTAGTGTCCTTGCGTGTAATTTCCTTCAGTTGAGAAGCCAAGTGTTCAGATGGCACAGGGGGCCCTCTATGGATGCTGTTTGAAACTGCTTTCCTTTCCTTCTCCCTTCAGTCCAGATGCTGATTAAGATTCATATGCTAGATTTAAAAGTGAATGACAGAAGACCTCATGTAGATATGAATTGTTAGACTGCCTTGTGTAAAGCCCCAGAGGTAGAGTTTTTGAAGAACTATAATTATTTTTATTATATATACTTATTATCAGGAAATAAGCTTTTCACTGATATGTACCCGTATGCATTTTCAGAAAAACTGGAAATGAGAGTGTAAAGGACGACATTGATATGGTCTCTGGTGTCTTGCTAAGTTATAGTACAATACAGGTAGTCCTCAATTTATGACCATTCACTTAACAGAAATTCAAAGGTACAATGGCGCTGAAAAAAGTAACTTACAACCAGTCCTCAAACTTGTAACCCTTGTAGAGTTCCCATACTCACATGATCAAAATTCAGGCGTTTCTCAACCAGCATGTATTTATAATTGTTGAGTATCCTGGAGGTCACAAGATCATTGTTTAGGGGGTTTCTGACGAACAAAGTCAATGGAGGAAGCCAGATTTGCTTAAAGAACTATGGTGGGTCACTTCATGAAAATGACAAAAAGGGTTCTAAACTTACTTAACTGCATCACTTAGCAATGTTCCCACCCCAAATGTGATCTACCTGCATACAAATACAACATTTAAGATTTGTTCAAGTATACAGTTAACCTTAAGAAGGCAATTATATTTTGGGGAAGATACCAAACCTACACACACACACACACACACACACACACACACACACACACACACA